ATAAGCCCAGCTCAATCATAATGAATGTAACCTGCATTAGGAATCCCTAAATGAACCCAGTATCAAACTATGCGCATTTTCCAGAATCCCAAGTGCCCAAAATCATATATTATAAGAAAGATAAGCAGTAGATATAAAAAATGGTATAAAATGGTATAAAAAGATATCCTGCCCGAAATCCAGATCCCACGACCCGAGTTATAGGCACATTTCAGTGCCACTCAAAACTCCACATCTGGCAAGTGGGAATATAAAAAAACGCCATCTTATAAATGCAGATGCCAAACCAGAGTCTCGAAACTCTTTGTTGTGCCCATAGCCGTAGCCATTAAAAAAATCAAACCATAGCGCCTTGAAGCAAGTATCTCAATAATGCTTCCGCTACTCTCAAGAGAAAAAAAAAGAAAAAGAAAAAAAAGTAGAGGTGAAACCCTTTCTTCAAACGCGAGTACCAATATGCCAAAATGCCCCTGGTATGCGTCACCCTTGAACAAAAACCAATATGTGTTCTCTACGCCCTAAAAGACGTGTAATTATACGACTTTTCCTATTCCCGTGATCCTCCGATCAAAAGTCTCCGTAACTCCATGTTGACGATCGCGAGGGATCTTCATGCTCTGTGACGCTAAATACTTTTATACATTAGATTTGTGCTTCGGTAATGTACCTTTCGCTTCGGAGGCGTTGCTGAGAGGTTATGACCGTGGTGAATGATCCTCCGACGATTTGGGTCGAAGTGATGATCCGGTTGAGCCTTGTGACTGCTTCATCGTGTTTTTGCGCGTAAGTTTCGCATAATGTAACCCACATGCGTTGCAGAGTGTCCGGGCTCCATCAGGTCCCCTTCTCCATTCGGGAGTCTCCGCTCTGTTGCAGCTGTGACATCTACCTGGTGGCGCAGCACGCTGTTCAATCGTTAGTAATTTGTGTGCAGCACGAATTGGAAAAGTACGTACCCCTCGACGTTTTTTGTTATCTGGGTCCACCAAAATTCTGATGATGTCTATCATCGCCATAAATGCTCTCATCATCGTAATCCGGAGCTAATCTTGCACCCCGAGATTGTTCGTCCGCTGCATGCTGCTGCTGTACGGCAGTATCCAACATGCGATGAAGGCAAGATACAACTCGATTGCCGTGAATTAACATCTCCTTCAATGGTCCTGGCGATCGGGTGGATCTTTCCGGAATTGCAATGTGAGAGCGTGGTTGCTTCTTGGCTAATTGCGTGGAAATGCCGTGACCATTCCTGCAATAGAGAGTGCTAGATACGTTTATCTTCGATCAATTAGTTAGTGAATCTGAGTAGAATAATAAATAATGGAGACCAACTTGAGCTAAATTATTATCCACGTCCCACACTTCAAGTTGTCGCTTTAACCCTTGATTGAACGGCTCATTCTGACTTTTATAGTTTTTATACCCAGGACCGCCCAGATCTCTATCATCGCGTGGTGGATAAGGTGGCTGTGGGTAACCTTGCGCTTGTGGTGGAGGATGAGGAGGCTGAACTGATTGAGTCGGTGCGTTCCCATAAGGGTGTTGATTATGCAACGGAGCTGGCTGACCGTATTCATTCATCGATCTTTCGACGAACCGTTCTGCGACTCTTGGCTCTTGCTCATACCTAGGAGCCTCGTATCTGGGCGCTGGGTAGGAGTTGGCAGGCGGAGGTTGTGAGATTGTAGGGTGTAGTAACGATTGTCTCCTTGGCTCAGCGAAGCTCCTTGAATCCAAATCTGTGCGCGGAAAAGGTGGTGGTTGAATAGGCACCGGCGGAGAAGGTTGCCGTGATTGAGACGATTGAAAAGTTCCCTGCTCATATGTTCGCGGCGGTGGCAATACCTGCGTTTGAGAGTAAGGAATCTGCGGATGCGAGGGAGGCGCAGAGGCAGATACAGGTGAAGCATACGGAACAGGCTTGGCGGAGGTACTACTTAGAGCTTCCTGTATCGATGGTAAAGATTGTCGGTGAGTGTTGGTCTGCAATTGATGGGGCGGCGCTTTCTCATCTGACGTCCTCCGCGACTCTGGGGGTGATATCAGGCCGCTGTGTGAAGAAGCGGGCCAGCCTGCGGAATATGGTGCACCATTTGAGTAGCGAGCGGACGCGGGGCTGGCACTTATCGGTGCAGCCATTGAGTTTGATTGTATGTATCGTGTGTCCGTATTGATACGCTCGATATGTTCGCGATTCATGATGGAGAGGATGCCACTAATGATATATGAATGTCAGCCTGGATTATGTTAAAGTATCATTGGCTTGAAAATAATTCTGAGTCTCAAAAAATCAAGGAAAACTGACCTTGACCTACTGCCACTTTCCGCGCCCTCCATTGCAAGATCTGGAAAGTATTTCACTCAAATCTGAACAGATTAGATGCTCGGAAACATGCGTGAAATGATATCGTGCTCTTCCGGTTCCGACGTTTGTGCTACTGTAACACCTGTTCACCTAAGCATCTGCGAATTGCCCTCAGCTCGAGTACTTTCTGTACAATTTCCTTTGGTGTTGCTTAAGCACTGACCGGAGTGTGAGGATCAAGAGTAGAACGGTCAATTGGCGTGCGGCTGAAAGGAAAATCTAACCTTCTAGATTGCCCTAGCTAAAATTTGATGACCGAGGATCGAATTGACAAAGAGGTTGTTGAGCTTGTGATTTATAGTGTGTGTCTATGTATATACACTCGGTCGATTGCTGTCGACTCTATCAAAGGTCCCAAGGTAAGGCAATGATGCGTTACCTGAAGCCAACCACAGGTCTTTTGTGTATGTATGTAATTTTGAACGGCGCAAATGATGAGAATGGAATCGCAGATTTGTTTCAAGATGTGAAGTGAGCGCGGCTATCCCGATATACTTGTTCGAAGAGTGAGGCTGGATTACACAGAAGAAAGATTGGAGGGGGAAAGCCCGTCTAAATATAGTGAGACCTTTTCGATCTGAACCAGAATTTTTCTGTAGCGTAGGTAGGGTTCAAAATGTAAATAAAAGCATCAGATCTATAAACCAGAGGTAAAATGTAGTCCAATTGGCTCCAGTTAATGTTGATGAGGACGGACGTAAAAATGTAAGTATAAAATACAGGATCTGCTATGGATGCTTGGAGAGTGAAGATCGATCGAACGCGGGGACGATCAATGTTTTGATGATGTTGAAGGAATGGAAGGAGTGAAGAAAAAGGAAGAGAGCAGTGGGCTGTAACAGTGTGGAGGCTGGTTCCTCTCTTTTCCCTGCTCGATTAGGGTTTCGTTCGGTGTAAAGCTTGTGGAAGTGTGGAAGGAGGAACGAGGTACACAACAGGGCAGGTGAGCTTCTCGAAGTTTGGTAAGGCAAATGATAGGATAAATAATGGGAACAAAAGATAAGAACCGCAAAAAGTATGAAGCTAGCGAAATACCAATAACCCAGGTGGAGAGAAAAGCAAAAGGACAATACTATAATAAGTCGAGCTTCTGCTGAATATCAATGTTTTGTGAAGAGTGGGAAGGACCAGTTGCAGTCGTAGCTGTATGTAGTATATAAAGATATCAAGTAAGAGGAGCGGGATGGGTGGGAGGAAGCGGCATCGTGCTGTACTACAATTAACTCTTCATCGAGCGGATTCAAGCCGTCACTGGCCGAGCTAGTAAGAGTTTGGCTTGTTGTTCTTAGCCCTATAGAGCTAGGTTAAGGGAGGAGATTTTTTTAGTTTCCGGTACTCTTACTTGGGTATGATTTCTTTTTTAGGTTCAACTGAGGGATGATGCTAAGAGTGGTTGGGATGGGGATCGAAGCTTAGGGAGATACAGGGTCGTAGCTAAGTTGTGAACCCAAACCGTCACCAAGGATCAAGGCAGTAGCGGCAAAGCAAGAAAACAACATGAGGACAGGACAGGACATGGGGAGAGGAGTGGGTGGCATGGAGACCATTCATCAACATGATGCGAATTTCCTAACCATAGCCAGCGAGCGGTAGAGGTTTTTTTATGAGAATTCTTATTTTCAGGGTTTAGTCTCAATATCGGAATCTCACGCTACTGCAGGATAGGATAGTGGTATCTAGATACATATAAACTAACATCCTAGTTGAATTGCAGGTGGGACGTTTGTCTAAAGTAGACAAACGACATGGGATCTAAAATCCGAATATCTCTTGACCAGACGAGGGGCAAGCTAATCTTGAGATTTGCGAGTTTACGATGGCCAACAGGGATTATAAATAAGATGCGTGGATGTGGCAGACTGCATAACCTTGCATACGTTTACCATGGGTCAGCCCATGATGCTAATATGGATCTCCAGTGGGTGGAGGGAAAAAGATGAGTGAGAGGGGTTTATTTGTGGGCCGTGGGGTGGTTTAAGAAGAAGGGGAGTGACGAAGTGATGAAGTATAATGAATTTGATTAGTAGGGAGAGTTTGACATACGGAGTGTGTATTCGAAGAGGGAGTGGTGATGAAGGCTTGTGAAAATGTTTAGCGTCCAGGATCAACAGGAGTCACAGGGCCTACACCAAGATGAAATTTAAAGTTCTAGATCTTCCAGACTGGTTCGTTCGATCGAAAGACGTGGTGCGATGCGATGCGACGCCTGTTTTTACCTACTGACGAAGGAAAGGCAAACTGAAGAGGAAGTGAAATAGGACAAGCCGATAAATTTGCAGAGGGTAGAAAGGAGAAAGTTTTTAGCCCCTTCGTTTGTGACTTTTGTTCGCGTATGACAAGCGTAGCCCTATACAACACATGATGAGATAATGCTATCTACAAAAGCTATCACATATTTCTATTATCACGAACAATTTCACTATTTAAAGTTGAAATATAGCAATATCTTCATTATCAAATCTTGAGAACATTTTTTCCGATAAAACTCCGAACTAGTGTCAATCTTTTACTCCGGATTTCGATCCTTTCTTAGATGAACTAAAAGTGTCAAATATAATCAGTACATTATACAGATTTATTACCAGATAGATTAATCGTACGCGGTTCTAGTCGCTTACGGTTGTAGCAACATTGGGGCAGATCCGTGGCGTTATCTAGTAGCTCAGCATGTCTACCTAACCTGCCCAATTAGTATATTCGTAATACCTTATTAATGGCACGAACCGTTGGGATTTCAAATCTCCAGAGACTCTCTAGATTGTATCACATCGCCGAGATCGTCACTCAGATCTGTACTTCTAATCACATTGAGGCCGATCCCTAGCGATATCTCCTTCAACTTCTCACCTATTATTTCACATTACATATTTTCTTATGATAATCCCGTCGCCATTTTAAAGTTTTCCAAATTCCAACCGTTAGCAATTTACGTCTCATTTACTTGCTCTGCAATCTACAATACGGACAGAATATCATTATTTTGTGGGTTGGAATCCCCGAACTAATGCAACCTCGATCGAGACCCTGGATGATGCAGTTAATTTTGGTCTTACAATTATTACTTGGCGGTCCTTCGTGGCCATCCCTCGAGAAGGTACTCTCTGGACTCTGGAGAGAGGATCAGTTACTGGTGTAAATGAATGAAAATTGAACAAGTCACGTAAGCATGATACCTACATCTAGTGCATCATACAGCAAACAGTATCCATATATCTGCCTATCAAAATTTAAAATCCCTACATCTCCTCCTGCAGAACGTGCAGTATCCAGATACGCGGCATATCTCAAGATCGTGTTACCTGGGATTAACCTAAAGGGAGCTTCCTCTATCCACTCTTTAAACGTATCGTGTCTCTGTCGAACCTCCAGGATTGCCTCCACTTACAAATTCAGTAGGTAACGTCTGCACGATCGTATCAAGTGCTGATGGACAAATCACCAGCCTGCTTGCTATTTATCCTCAATTTGCATGCTGTACAACTTATTCTGCCTATATCACATTTCGTTGTAGATTCGGGTAGTCGCCATATCTTGCCGCAACTTGCCGCCCCCCTCGCCATTGTCATGGAACACGAATATGCCGGGCTTTGCCAACTTCATTCAATCTTGCCATCTCACCTTCTCTTGGGATGAACACCTGGAACATTTGAATATTTCCCTCTGCATACATTACAGAATAAAACATTTGTTCTCGCATTGTCTGGATTTCTTATTGAGGAGCGCATAGTGGCTCGACCTTTTTGAGCCAAATTCAGCTAGTCCGTTAATTACAGAATGAAGGCCAATTACTACAAGGCTTACATGGCAGATCACTCCCTATTATGATATTGCCGACTTTATTTCTGCCTCCGCAGTCTTTAATGACAATAGTCTTACGAAGGCGTCGCTAAGAGAATGTCGGCTGATAGAAAAAGGGATGAGACCATACATGGCTCAGTACTTACATCAAATCCGGGGTGCGAGTGAGTGGATTACATTCACTAATTAGCTGCACCTTCCAAAATGCTATATTGGCATACTACTTACTCCCTACTGTACTCCAAAATATCAGCACCGATTACCTCGATGAAACCTATCACGGCAGTCATAAACTCATGCAATCATGCACTAAGTAGAATTGTTTTTATCACGCATCTACTATTTTAGCACTCAACACCAACAGTTCTTTCCCATTGTCGGCAATTAAACCCTTGATGATGCAGAAATTGCATTGAAGATCTTCCTAATTCAGACGTCGGCAGATTTCCACCCCTGAGCTTCAAGGTCGCGGTTATCGCTGCGACGTTGTCTATTAATCTCAATTCGTCGCATCGAGGTACTTTACCGACGGAGTTACTGCAGCTCTAGCCTCATACCGTACCAAAGAAGCTCTCTTGCCAAGATAATCCAGAAGGGTTTTCATTCAGCTAGTCGATCCAAAAGTGTCAAAGCCAAACAGGTAAATGTGTTGTCCACACTTTGGAAAAACGTTAAACATCATAAAGCTCGGATCTCACATAGATTTGGAGGAATAATGATAAGATTGAACCGATTGATGAATATACTTTTTAATATCTTCGGGCTTTACAGAACAAGCCTCATACGATTATCACTTTGGAGATGTTCCGGTGAATACTTTTGACAGCTGCATGTTTCGGGATCCCACGCCCAAGCGATCCGCCCCCTATGACCTGCTCTCTTGGCCAACCAGATTACATTACATCCTTTGCATCGCAACATCGATCGTGCGCTCGCAGAAGTCGAAGCGCACGTGTAACTTTGTTGAGTATGAGTTATGAGTAGAATTCCATTTGCAAGCGAACCCCGGTGGCTTGGATTAGAACAATCTTATTCACACCGTGTTAGGTCATAACTTTTTAATAATATTTTTCCCAACATTCCATCTGAGACCTAAAATTTGACCTGCAGATATGAGACAGACCACTGGAAGGAACAAGAAGATCGTGTCTACCAACTTTCCATCCACTACTGCTGAAGATCAAAATTATATGGGGATTACTATTGCCAGGGGTTTTGACAGACTTGGTGTTGATCACTCCCTGGTGACACTTTCCACCGAACACGAGCTGATCTCATCAGAATGATCCAAGATTCGAACAATCTTAGTTGGATTTCTGGCCCATCGAGGTCCAAAATTATGTCTCTCAAGTTTCCCACATTGAGACAAGGAAAAGGTTGATATGGAGGTTCATCATCGCCACGTGAGAATCATGGATAGGCCTTGCTAGAAACCCAACGGCTTTTTTATTAATGACATATTTGCTAGGATATCAATTTTAGTAATGTTTTGACTTTCTAGCTAAGACATTTCCGATATGCGCACTGTACTCCGTATAAGATTTGCATGATTTCTTTCTTAACGGAGCAGACTTCCTCGTTGAGTCTTCATGGTGCACAAAGACCCCCTGATCATGCACATCGTCGCACATCTCTTCACACTTTCCATTCGACTTTCGAAAAGCTTACGGCGACGCACAAGCATCATTCATGGATGACAGGGCCTCTGGGATCGCCGATTAATACCCCTGTGCTCCATAGACAAAGATCTAAATCCTCCCCACTGTTTCGGATCCAAAGAAAAATGGACGACTTACTCCGTAGTGGTTCGTAGTGGTTGTTGTGCTAACAGCACGATGCGTACGCAAAGTATGTAGGCTACGGTCAAATTCTAGACAAATGATATAATACTTGCGTCAGCTTGAGAAACTGCAGTACGTATGTACGATACGGGTAACTGTCAATTTTCAAGGAATCCTCCTTTCCAACTTTTAAACTTGTCTACTTCTCCGAGATTCTTCTCCGGCTTCCAAGTTCTACGCTGATACCCAAATGTTGCACTTCAATCAGAGAGGGTGGCTTACGATAATGGATGAAGGAAAATCTCCTTAGGCCAAGCCACGTTTATCGCTCGATCGATGTCTGCATTTCAAACTTCCGTCTGTGGATGAGCATGCTGAAGCGTCTCACTTGACATGATTTTGACAAGCCGAGCAGCAAAGCTGGAAGCGACATAGTGGTGGGCTCGGACGGGATCTCCATCAGTTCCTACTGCAAATCGCTGGGCCCGGTCGTGGAACTTCCGATGGAGCTTTGCCGTTTCAAACCGGCATTTTCACGTGCTCCATGCATCATCTTCTACAATTAGACATAATTAACCGTAATTTCTCTCAAATGCTGAGGTTCACCAGTGGTTCTACTTTCTTAATATCACAATCACAAGCTACGTAGAACTAGCTAGTTCAGGCCGCACAGCTTCACAAGCGCTTGAAAATTCTGGATGAGCCAGGATTGTAATATAACAAGGTTAATCAAATGATCTATCTAGATCTCGGAAGTTTTGCCAAAATGTTTAGTGGAAGGATGCAAGTCGTACGATTATTCCTTACCAAAGGGTTTGAGGCTTGCGGGAGCGGGAGTGCCAATACTTCATTGAAGCTTTCGTGGGAGAGGGTGTTGACTCGTGTGGTCAGCAGAAAATCTACTAAGATGATAGATCGTGAGATCTAAGGTCTAATCCGTCGATCGGATCCACCTTTGGAATGGCACATGAAATTTCAAAAAATTCAACGTTAGGCTGCGCTTTCCCTCTGGACATTTTTACATTTTTGGCCTACGGAGCTTTTCTCTCATGTCCGAATCATCGCTTAGACATTTTCTATTATATATCTTCATTTTGAAATATTACTACTTTACATTTTAGGGATTCCCCTTTTGTTATGTGTTGACTCGTCAATTTTCCAAGATATCATCTCACGGTTAAACAAATATTATAATCTCATACAATACTGCTACTCATCGATACCACCGTCTCACAAGCTATTACAACATATAATATACTTCATATTTCCTAAAAAGTCAACACGAGAACACAGCACCGCATCACCACACCAAACCTGGAATGATCATCGACCGATCTCATGCATAATAAAACCTTGATGCCTGCTTGGGACGTATGTCTCTTCGTCCCATGAAAAACATTGCTAAGATGATCGAGATTTCACACCGAACCCTTCTGTCGGTACACCATTCAAGCTACGATTTGGCCGGGCGTTTGCATCATTCTTCCGGAAGAATTTGTTGTCTACGATGCTGGCACTTAGCCTTGCATTGCAACGCAAGATCCTATATATTTATGATGATGATGCATGCAATAAACAAACTTCTCATCGTTCTCATCCCCACTTGAGACCTCTGCCCCAGTAAAGGAATCCACAAAATGACCAGGAGTGGCAGAGAGACTCCCAAGTGATTTCACTGCGTGTAGATACGGCAAGATATCAAGAATCCTACGAAGCAATCATATCAACTGTGATTTCTGGGCATGGCATGATATCTAACAGTGCCCCTTCACAGCCGACTAGATTTAGCCGGAATTTGATGGTCCATTGTATCAATATTGAAATGCAGTGCCGTTCAATCACTGTTATTGTGGCTTACGGCACAGCCAACGTTTTTTTTTCTACCCCAAAATATGTCACGGACTAGGATTGAGAGACATGCAGGTCTTTTATGGCCGAGCATTAACTACAGAAGGAAGTTCGCAATTCCCTCACGTATATGTAAGCCTCATCTAAGATCTGCTTATCTTCAACTCTGCTGCTCCCTGTCTATATCTTCTTCTCTCTTGACTCGGGTTCGAACATGCTGCAGATAGATCATGAGCACCGACAAACTTATACCGTAGGCTTGAGATAATGAATATATGCTTACAGCTAGACGGGTTCTGCTCACCGAGCTGAGATTTGCTCGTACCATGGTCCAATCCCCAATCCCACCTTTAGTTCCGCTTTCCAACAAACTACCGTCAAGAAACACTCAACACCTTCACCGCAGCACAACAGGACGAATGCATCAAGTGAACCCCGCAACTCTCATCAAAAAGACCGATCTTCATGTCCGAATAGGATACACCGTAACTCGGTCAAGGGTTTGACCAAATCCATGTCATAATGGAATTCCCTAGATGAAGATCACATCAAATCAAGTATATGTGCTTATTGTCCGATAGATATCCGTTTGGCACGATGGTGAGGTAATGCAGCTTACACTTAGCTTACCAAGATATGACCCTAAGGTGTTCAACCACTCATAGACATGCAATTTAATGTCTTGTATATCACAATACGCAAGAGCGTATATCTTTTTGCGGAATACTTTACCTCGCGCTTACATCATATTGGCGTGGATGAACGGGTACCTAGCAGATTAAGATCTTGAATATTTTCCCCGTCATCTTACCATCTCATCTCAGATAATCCGGACTTTTGTACTCCCATATGCATGCGCCTAGATACATATGGTATACATTGACATATCACATCAAGTTTGGCACAGTTGCAGAAATGCAATATGTTGAATCCTCAACTTTTCGGTATTATTACATTTTCAACACGGAGTGAAAAAAAGGCCTCATGTGTCACAAGAAACGCCAAGTGGCTGGCCATCATATTTGCTTTTTCCCATCGTTTAGACTAGACATGCTTTTTTCTCTTCTTTTTTTTAACCTCTAATAAAAACAATAAAATACTGCAAATATTGCCAAGGGCTTATTGGAATCGAGATTCCAACTCCTACATGCTAGAATACTATGCGGAGGTGTCCAGATAACGATACGATCCGATCGGAATGATCTTAAAAGTAAGTTCTCCTATATAGGTAGGTACGTAATAGTTTCATCTGCATCCTCGTCTCAAAGAAGAAATATTACCGAGAACCAGCCTTTTTTTAGCCAAAACTCCTAATTATAGAAAGGGCAAGTGATCTGCGTGGACGAGAACGAGGGGGTTTCAAGGCTCGCATAGATGAACCAGTCAGCCTTGAAACTATGAGATGCATAGAAACGTGTATTTTGGAACACAGCGGACACAGAGGGCACAGCGTTGAGGGAAATACAAAAGGTGGCGTATGTGAAGTCCTCACGTTTTGTGGCGCATGAGATAGCTTGTTCGTCTGCCAAAGCCACCACATGATTTGTTTTTCTTTTCGCAAACCTCTCACTTTCTCTCTTCCCAAGAATCTAAAGTAAGGAAGCTCATGACGGATCGGCTGTCGTGTGGAACTCAAGGGCTTGACTTTGTCAGATTTGTACGAGGTTTATTTGCTTCTTCTTGTTATTCATATGAATATTCATATGTCAATCCATGTGTTTACGAGAATGGATGCCGAGGGTGGCTTTTAGATGTCTTGATATTTTAAGCGCGCAACGACAGAATATGGGGAAACTATCATATTTTTTTCTTATCCGCCTGCTGATTTTCGTGGACCCTTGTCTCAAGTTGAGAGAACGTTTATATCAAGTGAAGGAACGGTTCCAGGCTGTCTCTTAATGTCTTATTGGCAATAACAAACCGTTATTCATCTATATAAACCCGTTAAATGTATATGTGGAAAAGGCTGAACTTGGTCATAGTGAACTATCACTATCGAGTCAGAGTCAAAGTGACATTGCGGAGGAGTAGTTTCAAGATGTTTCTGACTCTCTGGCCTCTATATTTTTCTATTCTTCACTCCTTCTTCCTCCTTACTTCCTCCCATTTTCAACGAAAATATATTTCTCCTTTGTCGAATTTGCCGCCATAAATCGAAGACAATTTCTCCCCGCGTCTCTCGTCGTATCCAAAGAGTGAATTTCCTGAGACATCCCACTATACCACGAATAGGCAATGCCCCGCGGTATTCAGAACAGAAACATAAAATCTCCGAATGACCTCCCCGTGCTGCGTGGCTGAGATCTTTCAAGAAATACTTCTTCCATTCTTCTATATTCTTCCCTTGCATATCTATACAATAGGAAGATACTATTCCTCACCAGTGCACATCAGAGACGAGAACTCTTAATCACGGGCATTTTTTCACGAGCATATTCTCTAGTTGCATACATATGTATTCAGCTGAATATTACAGCATAATTCAGGATCCGAAAGGGCGGAGAAAGATCTACTACTAATATTTCTACGAGACATCAAAGTCGATCTACGGACATGTTTAGCTTTTGCTACGGATCGGTCGATGGCGATAATGTTTCTAGGAAGTTTGGCTCGGAAGTGCTGATTTCCAGTCTTACACGTACAAAGGCTTTAGATCTGGTGGAATATATTAGCGGAGATCTGGAGGTCATTGGGAGTACGAGATTAGGATTATATGAATGTGTGTGTGTGTGTGTGTGTATTCAGGGGCTAGGGAGTTTGGGTTTGGTTGGTTCTCTGGGTGTACATTGTTATTGTGGCTTCCGATGTTGATACGAAGTTATGAAGTTATATTTGGAGTGTCAATATTAAATATTCTATGTAATAATAAATTAATTTCTTTTAGTGGGATTGTATCTTGATGATTATTTGTACAATTTGTATTTACAGTAATATTCATATAATTGACAGTAATACCGATTATCGACGTGTGAAATATCGACAACTCCACAGCTTTGAGTCATTACACATTAAATCGTTTTTTCAGCAGCAAATGTAATCTTTCTTTCCAAAACCAAGTCCTCTAGAAGTTACATTATGCATATGAAAACTTGATATTGATATCAAGATCTTACATTTTTCTCAATCATGATTCATTTTCAACTGAGCATTCACCATGAAGCACAAACTACTTCTCCGTTGCCTGAAGAGAAAGCCACGATGAATAAACAGATAGAGACAGATAGATAAGGATGATCACTGTGATCTTCCTTTTAGACTTTTATTGCGTGACTTGTTCTTATTTTTCTATCTTTCTAACTACCTACACACCTTACAGACAAAATATCGTCGCCTCTGTGATACTGTGCTTACCCTATGATTAGTAGGATATAGGATTATAAAAATACTTGTATCTCGATGAAGGAATAATAGTGGAATCAGAGAACGGCAGTTTGTTATTACTGATATTGATTTTCTGTTAGGGAGATGTACTGTTCGTGGACTCGATCCTCCGAGTACAAAGATTTCTCTATTTCATTAGATAATTATTATTTATTATTTGTTTGAAGGAAATGATGAGTATTCCAATAGTAATGAGTTCGATGATTATTTGTTATTTGAGTAAGATTTACTCAGTATTATAAATGAACAAAGAAAAATACTATAAAAATATTCTATTTTATTATATTTCATTTCATCTCCTTGATTTCTAATACCTAATATCTTCTTCCCCTTCTTCATTTTCCCTTCTCTCCTTCTTTCCCTTCCTCTCCTTCCTCCCCTAAAATAAACCCTTCCCCGTCTCATCACATACCAAATCATATACAAATTGTCTATAAGCACTATCTATACATCCTATCTACGCCATACCCATTTCATACACACACCACTTCTATTCTCCACTACTTCTCTTTTCTCAAGCTTTCTCTATATCTTCTCAACTACTTCACTCCCACCTTATTTTAATATTCTATTATATCTTGTTCTTTTCTATTCTCTCCTTCTCTTCCACTTCTCTTCCTTCAAGTTCCTTTCCTATACAAAAAATCAAGAAATTTATTAATTATAAATTCCAAACTATTTGTTTATTTAAGAGGGTTTTGAAATCGGAGAAAGAAAGTGAGGAGAAGGATTAGAGATGTATTTCACTGGATATAAAATGAAAAGTGATATATAATAATATATCAATAATTATAAATAATCTTTTATTGTTTTAAAGAATTAAGTAGTTAAGGATTTGTTTAAGAGGTTTTACGACGGCTTCTGGCCTCGTATCATATGACCACATACGAAGTCATTGTCACGATTCACCATTAGGATTGATGGTGTTACGATGGTAGCAAACTGATTAATTAGGAGAGCTTAGGCCTTGTGCAAACACGATCAGATTTCATCGAATTAGTATGTGATCTTGGTCACCTGAAGATCATATGCGCACGCACCATCAGAAATCACGTGATGAGGAGCCCTAGGAGCCAGAAAGCTCCTGGGGGCTCCCTTCTTCGGTTATTATATAGTCAGAGTAGTTTCATAGTTTAGGAGCTTCGTGCTCAACTTAGTTATCAATTAGTTTACCTAGATTCTACTTGATCTAGTAAAGAATTCACTTTCAAGTGAATACCAGTGATAAAGCCTTAACCCATAACTACCAACCGACAAACCTTAGGCAGCCGCTGCCTCCAGTACAGTATCGTTACACCCAGCCCAATATAAACATTTCAACATCATAATATTACAACACTATAAATAAATCATATTAACAAATCCATCTCCATCTCTAGTTTATACTAATCTTACAAAATCCAAACCATCAAATCTTCAATTATTTAAAAATTATCTATTTATAAATATCAAATATTAAATAACTTCAATCTTTATTTAGATATTATGTTAAAGTGAATGATTCCTGCGTAGCACGTGCACAGGGCACTAGTCCTATTAGGACTAGATTGAGAAGCTCTCTGTAGGAGAGCTTCGCACTTCCGTAGAACTTAGATAATGAGTGATTCATATACAAGACCAATATAGCCTCAGTTCTGCCCTATCAGCTTCCCACTATTCCCTGTGTAAGGTCATTCCTTTTAACATATTATTATAATTAATATTATTCATCTTATAACTATTATTAATATTATACCTACACTCTACGCTTAAATTCTTCTTCCCTGTATTCCTCATTTCCTATCTATTAGTCTTTATTATATCTCCACATCTACTCCATCGCTTCATCTCTATTCCCACCAGATTTAGTACCTCCCAGAAACTTATATCCCTATTCCTATTCCTAATCCTTACCAGCCTTATCCAAATCCAAACTCAAATCCGACCCCCTCAGAATCCCCCTCAAAAACCACCCCTCCCATCCCTCACCCCCCTCAACCTCTCATCCGCCCTCCTCAATTCCTCCTCTAACCCCCTCTCTATCTTCTCCATCCCCTTCTCCATCCCCTTTCCCTTTTCCTTTCCCTCTCTCCATCCCTGTCTCCTGCACATCTCATTCTCATTCTCAATTTTATTCTTAACATTAATTTCATTCCCATTACCTCCCACATCCCTCACCAAAACCAGCGGTTTCTTCTTTCTACGGATTTGCAGGGGTAGGGTTATAGGGATTGTTGGATCGATTGGGGATAGAGATAGAGATGTGGAGAGAGATGGAGATGGGAATGGATATTTTTTGTTCGTGGATATTTCCTGTGGGATGATTTTGATCTGAGAAGGTGGTTGAGATTGAAGTTGGAAATTCGGTATGTGCGCAGGTGGCCGAGGTACAGGTGAGGTATGAGATAAAAGAGGATATTGTAAAGATTCCGACTGAATAGTCATATAAGTTGGACTAGATACCTGATGTGGAGGTGAAAAAATAGAAGGAAGATACGGAGGTGAAGGTATCGATGAATAAGCATGCTGTAGTACTAACTCCGACTTGTCTTGATAAGAATCCGGACTCAAACACACATCTTCATCCCCATCCCAATAAGCATCCCAGACCCCATCCTCATCCCTATCATCATACCCACCGCTCCTACCACCTCCCTCCCCAAACGAACTAACCGGACTCACAACCCTATCCTCTCCTTCCCCAAACGAACTAACCAGACTCACATCACCCATCCCATTCCTCAAAACCGCATCCCAAGTACCTATCGTATGATTCGCGTAAATATCTTTCGATTCTTCTGTATTCACTTCTTTTGACACTTCTCCCGACACTCCCATATCCAAACTCGATACTGCATCTCCAGACTGTCCTCTTTCAATATATTCCACAAAAAACCTCCCCGTGGCATCTCTACCGATTTTCGGAAGAACAGTCGTATGATTTACGTAAGAATTTGGTATTTCTGGGACTTTAGGAATAGCTGCCACATCCCCCCTCGTACGAATCTGCGTATTCGAAGCACCCACTCGATATCGAGGTAACTTGGTATATGATTTCGCAGGAAAACCATCCATGTTAGTTTCCTCCTCAAGCTCCCCGTTACGCGGAGGTATAAATTGCGAGAAAGTTGTTACGGTAGATGATCTATCACTAACTGGAGCTACTCGACCTTGCAGCGATAAATTGCTGCTCGGTTCGGGTTTTGATACCGGAATATCTTTTCTATTCCAGAGTCGAGGTGATTGCGGACCTTGTTCATTATTTTTTACCCTTAGAGATGGGGAAATAGTAGGTGATATGGGTAAAGAAGAGTATCTAGTACCAGGGATAGTTTCTTGTAGATTCTCTGAAATAGCTGGAAATGCGACTTGGGTTTTTGTCTGTGTCTGAGATTTTTCAGTGATAGTGTTGCTTCGAGTTATTTCGTTAGCTAGGGGATGTCGAGGATGTGGTATAGCTCCTGTATTACTCCTTTTAGGTAAAGCAAAACCTCTAGATGGTTCTTTAGTCGTGTTATTCCTCTTTGGTGTATCTCTATAGTTTCTAGGCTCGACGAAATCAATGGCATGTTGCAAAGCAGCAGAAGGTACTGAGGAAACTTTCTCTGAAATATTTCGTTGCACCCATTGATCTCTTGCAAGTACCTCTTCGACACCGCGATGATTTGGTAAACTTGTGCTATGATCGGCAACATTTAATCCTTGGGATCGAAAAGGTATCGGTAATGCATCAATGCTTTGAGAATGGACCGGATGATCCAAAGCGCGATGTCGAGAAGGTACACGAATATGCGACGACGAAGATGACGTTCCCAAACTTCCTTTCCAAACCGCAAGTACATTGTCGATATTTTGCGGCGTTATATTGATTGTTTCACCATATTTCGCCTGGCTAATAATATCCGTTTGGTCCTCGTCAAACTGCGAAAACTCCGTGTCCTGGCTTATCCTTCCCGGCCTGTTCGAGTTTGTATCATTACTCCATCGCTCTGATGACATTCCTTGGTAACTATTTGTGAAATCAGGAATTTCATAACCATCAGTAAATGGGTCCACAATTGCAGATTTATCTGTGAAGGGGCTCCCACCAATTTCAGTCATATATTCTGCAGCATGTCTCTGGGCAGTCCACTCCTGTGATGCTTTAGGTCGACTTCTTTGGGGTATATCGATTGGCGCCGATGTTGCATTTGATATTGTTGCTTGTGAAATACTAGTACCAGCACCAGCAACCACGCCGTTAAAATGAAGGTCTAGAAATTCTTTGGGTGTAAGATATTCATATCCAGTGGCATCATCGACCCTTCGTTCATCTGACGATCCAGACCGAGAATTATGTTGTCCTGAACCTTCAGTCTTCTTACTCGCTCGAGAACCGCCTGCGGTTGTATTAAATCGATCGAGTCCTTGTTTGACCTTACCATGCATAGGAGGTTTATGCTCACCTGTTGCAGTCGTGTCCGGCTCGCTTTTAGGTCGGACGATCATCTTCCGCAAACTTCCAAATACACTAGGCTTTTTGGATTTAAGTTTTAGCGGAAGACTTTCGGTTCTGGGAGTGTCAGGACTGGCGTCTTTTACGCTCTCGCTGGTCTGGCTATATATGTCGTCTTCGACTTCTGCGTCGAACTTGACCATATCGGTGGCGGAAACATAGGGAGACCCGGTCCTCACCCCTTTCTTCTCGCGTCGTGCCTCTTCCGTTCCGTCCTGATATACTCTAACACCTTTCTCTCTACCCCTCTTGTCTCCATTCGCCACAATATCAAACCCACCTATACCCAACATGTAGTTTCTATTCCCTTCTTCGTCGAATGCACTAGCGTCGATGTTCTTTTCCACCCAGACCACCACAAAATTATCTTTATCCTGACCTCGACACTTTCGACAGTCCGCAAGGTAATGAGCAATAGTCGGGGGGGCTTTCACGCACTTTCGTCGTGGGTTGCCAAGATATAAGGCGCAACGATGTGTATAGGTTTGTTTGTGGATGCAACTTAATATTATTGTATATGTGTTGCACATTTTTGATTCTTGCATGTATTAAAGAGGAAGGGAAGTTTGAGGCCATAGTTAAAGTGGATATGCAAAAGTACATGTACGAAAAAATAGTGTGATTCTTTGCTATAAGGAGTTATGATTCAGGGGAATAAGGTCATTTGCTGTAAAAAAAAAAAATCAAGAACACTTGACTCCGTAAACATTGAAAAGAAAATATACACTTCTGCTGGTAAATATTGAATCACAATTAGCCTCTCCAATGACTTCAATAAGAACGTATTTAACATACCACCGTGCTCAACATACCACCGTGCTTAACAAGTTTCCTCAATTTCTTCACCATCTTGATTTCGATAATCGAAGCACCTTCAACTTTTTACCGTGAATCATGTGAAGCTTGTGACATAAAACTCGGGAGAACTGCCTGGGTATTCGCTAATTGTCATAATACTCCAGTCCCAATGTATCATGAAGGTAAACCCCGTTTGCGCCTCGACATCTCATAACCCTCTCTAACCTTCTCTTTGTCTATTTTAAAGCCAAATCTACACCTGACCAGCCATGAAAATAGCATGGCCAACACATTGAACCATATAATCCACATCCAATCCTTGAATCCAAAGCCAACTTTGTTCGAATCCGCAGAATCATATTCTTCACATACTTTCAGATATGTCTTTGGATCATCAGTAATAACTCCATCCACCTCTTTCTTGATACACCATCTCATCCACTGCTCTTCATTAACAGTCCATACTAACATGGATCGTTTTGCAACTCTAGAATCAGCCATAAATTTAGTACCACCAGGCCCGGCTAAAATCTGCCGTAGCATGTTGAAGTTTATATTAGGTACCGATAGAAACTCTCTCGCATACGCTATGGAGAATCCGATGTGCGTTATGGGGAAATCAGGCAGGTAAATTGCGCAAAGAGGAAGGTACTTGGCCTAAGATGGTTGTTTGTCAGTAAATCATAGAACGATAATCGATGTAAAAGAAATTTGTGTGAGAAGCAAATAACGTACTGCCCAGCAGCCTAATAAAATTCTCTGGTTCCAAGGTTTCGTTGGTTTCACCTCTTCAATGGTCGAAGCGATTAAACTCATTATTTCATCTGCATTATTGTCAAGCTTTTTGCTCTCGTCAACTCGATGTCTTTTCAAAACAACATGGCACATGGTAAAGGTACCTTGATGTCTAACAATATCCATATGTCTTCTAGTCCAGGTGTAGTGAGGTATTCTAAAAGATCTCTAAGGCGGGGCATCGGTTCGTGGGGCGCCTGGAGGGTGCGAAGTGTAGATACGTATGGCCAGTCGCAATCTATGACTTTTTTGTCTTCTCCAAAACATCTCTTAAGGCTTGGATCCTTGAGGAGCGCGTCAGCCATCGTTCTCGCCGGGAATGTACTTCTTAAGGTTACAACACACATGTGAAATAACCAAAACTCCGTCCTTGGTGATGTGCAAGTCGGTTTCTATCGCATGCGCTCCTACTTCAACAGCACCTCTAAATGCGCCCATGGTATTCTCTGGATTCGCAGCTTTGTATCCTCGATGCGCAATGGCTTGCGGGAATATCCGACCTCGCCGATCCGGTTTGGCTAATGTGAAAGTTGCTGGAGTAATATTAGCCATGATTCTGACGAGTCTCTAGTGAAAACTCACAATGAGGGACCTCCATTTTCTCTTGCAGTAAAGGTTCTGACTCTGCCATTACAATTCCGGGAAAAAGTTGGTCGCGATATATATATAATTTGCGAGATAAATGGCAAAAGCTGCTAACCGCGGGCCGCTTCGATCAATGTATGAAGTCGGAAACCTTGATCCTGGAGGAAGCTAGGAGACGTGCTTGAATTCCGACAGCCAATGTAAATGGAGGTATATATGGATGTATATACGAACTCCACAAGACTATCACTTATTGAGTAATTATTTCCTTTGGCACACATCCAGAATGAATTGTTTGTTGATGATGTTATAAGCAGTTCAAAATGCTTTCATTTTTCCAAACGCCAGAACTGCACTGGGTTGACGGAGCAGCTGTGTCCAAAGAAGAAAGCTCGGAGTTCTGTTTGAGGCAGCAGCTAGTCCTACAATTGATCATAAAAACCTAAATACAGGATAAGATCTGCAGATATAGCTGCAGGCACGGAAGCCGTATATACATATGTTGTTGACTTGTCTGATCGCGATAGGTGAAGGATGAAATCCGAATGATCCAGTCAATGTGTAGCGCGGCTCCAAACTTCTAAGGGAAGTAAAAGTAAGCAAGCAAAAGAATATATCGAGCTTCAATTGTTTCTGGGGTTCGTATGTGACGTGGGATAGCGTCGCATGTCGAAATTATTACCGGCATCATTGAGGGTTGGGCGCAAGGGAGTTCGGTTTTGAATACTACTAATGACCTCGGAAGAGTTCACAATGTGACGTACTACGGTCCTACTTTGTTCGTATCTGAAGAATAAAATTATGCAAGATATATGTAAGATGGTAAGTGATATGCAAGGGATATGCAAAGTATATGCAAAATACATGCAAATTATGTGAGACTTTCTTCCTCATTCATTTAACTCAATCAACGTCTCAATAAATCAATGGTTGTAATTCTAGGTAGCCAATTTATATTTAAATTGTTGCTTCATGTTTTCTTCAAGAAATAATTAAAGGCCAACCAACAGCTTCAACACCTTACCACTTTAAGCTAAGCGTCACCTTATCGAAAGCGATAAGCTTAAATGATTTCTGCAACTTCGACCCAACACTCAATCCGTCACTCTCACACCGTAAACATCTTTAAATTTCTATCTTATATTACCTACTACATTACACATTACCAACTACCTTTACTACCTACAATCCATATAATTATTGTATCTTCACCCATTTCCTGTAACTGTAAGTTTCTCAACCTTCCTCTCACAACTTAACATCCCTAATTTTAAATTGGGAACTCATATGGCTCTGTTGAAGTTTCATCAGATATTTTGAAACCAGCCTTATGCATGAAGTTTGATTGCCAAGGGATCGTCAAACTAGTCTCTTGTCTCCGACTATGTCAAGATGTCACTTCAATCTTATCTAAATGGAAGAAAGAATATTTGCCACGTTCATGGGGAAAGATTCATATCACTGATCAAATAGGTTCTGGTAGAAGGTAACTTAGCCATGTATACTTTGATACTCAGGAAAGGCCCCCGAGCCAACATCCATCATCATTCTGATGTTTGCTCATCGATCCGTTCCTTTACAAGCTTTCATTGAACTTTCATTAGAGTGTTGAATTCTCTACTATCCATACTTGCGATCCGGTTCAGTACATGCTTGAAAACAGAACCTTTAATTGCGTGGCAACAAGTTCGTTATCACGTTTCTGAGGCCTCTCTCAATAACCATATTTAACTCCACCTCTTCGCATTCGAAAAAAGGACCGGCATTTTCCCCCTATCTTCAGGGACATAACCACCTTTTGTGCCTGCAGTTGTTTTTCGTTCTTGGATTTCCAAAAGTCTCGGTTGCTTTTGTGGACTTCGCACCAGATTGATGCTAAGGTTCGGAACCATTTTGATTTCATCGGATAGAGAAGATTCTGCTTGAATATACACAGCATTTACTTGGGAACTGATGTACTAACTATTCGACATTTCCAGGCTCTCAATTTTAGGGTTATTGGAAGGGTTCACCTGTTCAATTGAAGCAGATTTTTAATACTCACCAATCCCACTAGACCCAGTGCAGCTTATCTGACCATAGTCTGGATTAGTAACTTTCTGTTTAGTGCAAAAATTCATGGAAATTTTCTTGTTACCAAACCAATTTTCTCATTTGAGACACGCTTTGCAAACCATGGTTGTTGGTTAGCCGATAGTCTAGTGTAGTAGCTCTATTAGATCTTTGTTCTGCACTGTTTCTAGAGGTTTTCCTGGATGTAAACGCCGTCTTACACTTTCCACAACTTGAGGGATTTGGCTTTGCTGACCTCGGTTCCAACATGCCAGCCGTAGAGGTGTTGTGGATATTCTCATTTTCCGCGTGAGGAGCTGTACCTCCTTCCAACCCAGGGGATATGGCGTCTCTAACTTTGGAAGCTATGTCTTATTCAGCATTCAGCCTCGTTGATATGCTTTAAGAGCGTCGACTCTTCAAAAATCTGGCAATTGTTGCCACACTGGTGACATCAATTTTTTTCGTCTAGAATTTCTCCCAAAATAACAGTCAAGACCATTATTACTGCACTTTGGGGATAACTTTTCTTCTCCCGCACATCCGCTTCTTGTTAGATGAAGTTGCTTGGTTGACCATAGCATCCGCAAGATCGCTCCTTTCCGAGGAGAATTCTACTTCGTGAACATACAAAGGCTTGTTTTCAAGCTTCGCAAATCGACATTTCTCTGGCTTTTCCCGCGCAGCAAGACTTTCAACAGCTGGTATAGCGTTAACTACTGGCGTTCCTGGTGGATATACAGCATATTCATAATGTTGCTCAGTGGCAACAGTGCAGGTCTGGAAAGCCAATGCCTTTTTTTACAACGTTTCAACTTTGCCTTTTACATGTACCCTTATATTTTACTATTGAGAACCTCTCGCGGATAATGTGGAATTCTGCAAAGTGAAACAAGAGCTCTAAAAAAACGCATCCCAAGGCTTTATGTTTGCTCACACAGATCCTACTCCAAAAAGGATCTCTAATATATTAATGTGGCTCTCCAGCGCTAATCTGCGAGCGTATTTTCGGTCACCTTTAGAGTAAAATATGTGGCGACAAGCGGAGAAAGGTTCAAGAATGCCTTTTCCTAACATCGCTTAAATTTACGCTCTAGATGGTGGTTTTCTTTAAATCCTAAGAAGACTATCGTAAAAATTGCTGCTGCCAATGCAAGACCACGAAGAAAAGCTGTGGATCCAAATCCTTTCTTTACCTTCCAAGGCGCAGATCCGATCCGAGGCCATAAAACAGATGAAAAAGACGTTGGAGGTCAACGCTGTATCCTCGATATCCAGAGTGTGACGTACACTCTTATCGTTCTTGTGCATTATTGAATCCGAGTCCAGCTTCACTGCCTCCATGGATCCATTGATCTGCTTAAGGCTGAGATTAGATGTTGATAACGGCCTTCCGAATTACTCAATGATTCGTCATACGAGGTTTCGGCACTGCATTCCAAGTGAATGGGTGGAAGATAGGTTCGGTTGGTGCTCGGCAGAGGCGACTTTTCAGTGTTTTACCGTGCATACGGCGGCATTACGAACGCTTAACGGCAGCATATTGGTTGTCACACGATTTTTCGGGCCTGTGCTATAAATTACTCTGGGCCAATGCACTATGCCCGACCAGTATATGATGAAAGGTTCATTTGATAGTCTGTTCTCACAGCCTATAGAGTCAGTTAATTCAAGTCAGAAATTTGGTTCTGAACCTAGCTGTTGCCTGAAAATGGAAGAATCGCATCGCAACAGCATGCTGATTTTTTGCAAAGGCCGTATGATCAAATGAAAAACCAGGTTGACAGGAAGTGGCAATTCACAAAATAGACATACCTGCACATTGCACGGAAATTCACTAAGACTGAATAGAGCGCTCTCTGTAAACACTCCATTCAGATGTCACTCTGCAAGACCTGATGCTTGCTAAAAAAAAAAAAAACTAAAAAAAACTGTTGTCTCAACTAGTTGCATGCAGCACACTAAATGGATACATACGGGAAAGAAACTTATATCGTCATGACGCGTGTTGCTGGTCTGCAGCTCCGACTTGTTTATCACTTGATGTCTTGTAAGTCTAGTATCCTCCTTTTGGACCATCCTTCAATATCAAAAATCATTATTTTTATATATTAATAATCTTATAATTAATAAATTTTAAATTGTAAATTTATTACTTTTATAATAATAAATTCTAAAAGTTTTTGATTTTTTTTGATTTTTTTGATCGAGATATTGAAAGTCAAAAAATTACAATTTTTAGTTTGTATAAAATTTATATATAAATTTTAAAAATTTTGAAAAGATTTTTCAATAAAAAATTCATGATTAAACATTTTTAAAGGTTTTTGAATTAAAGTTTATCAAATAGATCAAATTATTTGGAAAAATAACAAAACAAATTCATGATTTAAAATTTATCAAATTATATTGATTTATTGTTAAAAGGAATGACCTCACACAGGGAATAGTGGGAAGCTGATAGGGCAGAACTGAGGCTATATTGGCCTTTTATATGAATCACCCTTTTTCTTAGTTCTACGGAAGTGCGAAGCTCTCCTACAGAGAGCTTCTCAATCTAGTCTGTTACGAGGTTTGCCGTCTAGATCACGTGGAAGTGCTCTAGGCTCTCGAGGTGGTTTATAACTAGGCGTCAAGCAGGGACTTAAAGTAATGACAATAATGCAATTCGTAACTAATAGTAGAGTATACTAAATGATTGATCTTGAGCACGAAGCTCTATACAAAGGAAATCCATCTTGATTATATAGACCATCGTGGCATGCGTCCCAGTGCTCCCAGTTGTCCCAGTTGTACTGGGACAGCTGAGCCTACTGGGATCCTCATATCACATGATGCTAATCACGTGATGTTAGGTATGTGAGATCCGTCGTAACATAGTCCTAATAGGACTAGTGCCCTGTGCACGTGCTACGCAGGAACCATTCACTTTAACAGTATATTATATTATTCAAAATATAGGATCATACCTCCATCGTCTCTCCTCCATCTCAAGAATCTCATCATATTGATTTCCAAATATCCTTCGCCACAAGGACATCTCATATTTACAGCCCCAAGATCCAAAGCCCGCATGTGTGAATTCCCAATATTCGGGCTTGAAATCAGCACATTCCCAATCAATAATACCACAAAATCGCCCTTGATCCACTAATAAATTGGAATAATGGAAATCGGAATGTGTGAAGACTGATTGGTGGCCATTAGGTATCTTTTCTTCTCCGCCGTAGATTTCTGCTAGTGTTTGACCGCCACCTACCTCGCTGTACATGTATGCGTTGAGTTCGAGCTCGTGGTTGAAGGGACCGCCTGTTCGGTTGGGTGTGAGATGGTCATATATAAGCTCGCCTAGGGTATCAGAGAAAAGGCAAGAGGTGTAGGTGGTGCGTGGAATCCTCCTCATTTGTGAGACGCATTCTCTCACTTTCATCTATAAATTGATTTCTTTCCGCATATGACATTAAGTGGAACGAGTCTCGAAAATTTTCACCTCGTAATCGTGTCATAACTAAGTAGCTAAGACCCTGACTTGAATCTTGGACAACATCGACATTACGAGGAGCTGGGATTGAAGTATATCGTTCGACCATATTGAGGGCGTTTGATTCATTCCAGGAGGTACCTGCTTACGTCTCTTTGATATAAAGTCCAAAAGGGACTCGTTGAACCCATTGTACTTCCTCGGGTCCACATAACCTTTCTCCAATGGTCCATAAGTAACGATAGTAGCGCAATCGTACAGAGGCTGGTATCCACAACCATAAACTGTGGAAAGCTCTTTTGAAAATTGAGATAGGGAACCTGAATAGTTTCTGCAGAATGCTAATAGTTGGCTTAGGCCAACCATCGTTGATCTTATCCTCAATGCTGAAAAGATGGAGTGCAGAACTGAAACGGCGGTGGATATCGAAGAGAAAATCGCTCGGCAAAGGAACATCTTTAGGATTTGTTGTAGATATACTAAAGGCCTCGGATTGAGACCCTGAAAAGGGAAGCCCATTTCCAAAGTAGAGGTTCCTAGGGTGCTCCGGGTACTTTCCCTTTACCCGATACTATGACCATGTTCAACTCATACTGCCAATTTTCTCACAATAATATGACTCACCATCTCTGTTTGTGAAGCCTCGGCATCTGAGCTATTTAATTGATCAATTCTTCGTACTTCAATGTGATCAGCACGGAAAGCCTTATGCACAATCGGCGAAAGTAACCAAATGTTTCGTAAAAAGATTGCATTGTCTTCAACGCTATCAGAAAGCAATTTTCTCAGTCGATGAACATGAGATGTAGAAATAAAGGCTTCTAAAACAGAAATCAAGTGTCCCTATACTTGGTTTATCAGATCATCTCTCCTTCATAGAGTTAGTCACAAAAGAGCTTACCCCCTCAGCGGTCTCGATATCTCGAAGCATCGATGGAGGAATCACATGAGCGGACTCAACATGTTGAGGCGCTGGTCTCGTACCACTTGCTTGTGACATAGTCATGGTACAATATGGGCCATCTCTATCCCGAACCAAAGTTTCAAGGTGCTTAGGAACGGAGTCGACAACCATCACTGTAGATCATCAGCATGGTCAGTCCAAGTGGGAATTGGATATTGTACTAACGCAGACTCGCCAACTTTCTACAGTCCCTTTTGAATTGACGCAGGCTGTTTTCTGCATCGTTAATTTTTTGATCAATTATTGATTGAATATATTGTGCGGCAACTTCAGGCTCGACTGCTTGTTCGATGAAATGCTTTAGGAGTGAATGTTCAGTTGGTCACAGATCTGCAGAAGAGATTGCGTCGATGACAGAATCGACAGTAGCCATACGTTCAGATGAACAGAAGAATAAGTAACACAAACTCTGGGCGCGAAATAGAAAAGCGAAAAATTAAATTTATGATGTTGGATAATGTTGGTATTTTGTGAGAGTTGTATGTTGGAATTAGATTTATTTTAGAAGTCGTCTATGCTAGTCCGTTGGCCAGTGCACAAGTTATGTGGTGTGAATAGGGCCCTTGGATGGGCTGTATCCCATTGAAATAAGCCCTGGGAATAAGCCCTGGAAACTAGCAAGTCGGCGCCTTGGCAACGAGATAACATACGGAGTACCTAGTAGGTTAGCCATAACCACCCGAGTAGTTCCAATTCACAAACGACTTTTAAAATCATAGGCTATAGTAAAGACTTTCAAACTCGAAAGCTATCACATACTGGATAGTTGCCGTCGATGAAAAGCAATTGTGAAGTAAATTATTAAGATACCCAAGATGAAAACTACTATCATGCAGTACAGGCAGATCTTTGATCATAACTCATTCCACAACGCACAACAACTTCATTTAGCCTGCCTCATCTCTTCTCTATCAACTTCTCTCCAGTCTCGTCTTCGCGTGGCTTCAATTTTCCCATTGATAGCCTTGTTATAAGCATATCTATACTTATTCTTTGTACCACAGTCCTCCATTCATCAAACTGGGCCTCACCCTTTTACCAAGATTATCTCTTCCGCCAAATATATATTAGACGCGGAGATAATCATGTCTTTCACAAGAGAACCAATACCTCTTGAGCCCGCAAGCTTGTATATCACGCTCACTGATATCGGTGGCAAAACCGAGTTTCATTGAGCATTGTATCTTTCGAGAAATCCTGGAAGGAAAATAGGCAGAGGAAATATTTATCATGCTACAAATGAGTCTGCGACGAAAGAATTTATCTGCCAAGGGAGAATTGATTCCAACATCAGCGCATCAGTAAATTTTCCGACGGCGGTGAAGATTGCTATCATCCACCAAGATCTCTAGGATAGTTTGGGAAATGTATTGAGTCCGCTGGACAAGTATCCAGATGGGCAGATAAGTATTGGGCCATACGATAATTTGTTGTACCTAGGTTTTGGGAAGCAGTCACACTACTTGATGATCTTGTATACATCAAGTTAAAGAATGAAAAGCTCAAAGATATGGGTTGCCGAGAGTAACTGGAGAGAGAAGAACAGAACAGAACAGTTGAAAAAAGTGCTTTAGTATCGCTTAATCATAATCATAAATGTTTGTAGGAAATTCTGGGGTGCTGGATGGAGAAGCAATGCAAAGAGCGATGGTGGTGCGTTTGAATCATTAAATTTTGAAATGAGTTAGCCCATCCTCAAACACGGCCTATCAACAACCCATAGCACCAAAAGGCGTCATATCCCACTACTTCATCTCTGTCTTCAATTCCTTCTCATAGTATGGTTGATGAGGAAAGTGTTAAAGTCGTCTTTAGTATGGAAAGGGCCTCCATCCATTATTGGGTATTCGATGATCATTTACCGGATCTCCTAATGTATGACAGATCATGTACTCCGTTAAATTGGGAATCAATCTTATTTGAGCAAAATAGCCAGCCAAATCACCTGCAAGGCAATTACACTCTGCATAAGACATCAAGTGAAAACATATCGGAGCTGCTAACCAGCAACGCCCGTCATAACGATATAAGTTTCATCCCCGTGATTTCCCACATCAACAAAATACAATACTGAAATAAATGTATACTTCTCAAATAATTTAAAAGCACAGGCATTAGGTTCGTTCAGGCAAGAACTTCTACTTCGCTTGACATAAAGCCCAAAAGACACTCAGTTGTAATTCTGACCCACTTAATCTATACATACATATAGCCATATTCCGAATCTCACTAAGTTTTAATATCGATAGCAATATACATATTGCAGAAGATAAACAAAACCATAAGCTATGAAATAACCGCCTCATAATCATTAGAGGGAATAGAAAATCCAACAGTAGCCCAAGCGACGAGGCTTTAACTAACCTTTAGTAATCTTGTCGTCGACATAAAAACGATGTATACGTATACGTAATGCAGCGACGAATCGAGAATGAATTTCAAGAAAGATACAGTAAGTACTTGGCAAAGGAACTCATCTCACATCGAATGTGGATATTCGCATAAACAATAAATTATCTCGCCATTCTTTTCCATTTAATCTCCAAGGTAAAAATCAAACTAGTCTTCGAATTTGGGAAAAAGCTTATAGGCCGTACGATTTAATACGTTTCAATAAAAAACTAGGGTTTAAACATTTGCCAGTATTGCTACTCACTATTTCCTCTTCTTCAACTCGCTCCACAGTCTTGAAAGTTTGCAATGTCATTGAAACATGATCTCCACGGAAAAACTTATGCATATTGGGTGTGAGAAGCCATAAAATATTAATTTTGAGATATAATTATATATAATTAGATTTCATCATTTTTCACTTCGCTTGAAAGGTGAGGACGCAGCTTTGCGACATAAGAAGGTATCAAAAATGCCTCTAAGAATCGAAGGTGTCCCTATTCGTTGTCACTTGGTAACTGGCAGATTATAGTATGAGATAGTAATTGCAGCTCACTTTCTTTGCTAATTCAATATCATTAAGCATAGTGGGTGGGATCACGTGAGATGGTTCCATCGACATAATCGAGTCCTTGTCTTGTGTCGCATATTGGTCAAGGAACAGCGGGGACCATCTCACTTATGGAGTAGTCCATAGTAGTGCTTAGGTATTGGATCGAAAGCAGTCACTAGATATTATTAGGCTGATCAAACTGGACAGGCAATTGTCCTCAGTTGGGGGGGCACTTACACCTCTCCGCAAGCTTTCTCCAACCCAGTAAGGAAGAATCAAATGAGCTGAGGCTCAACATCTTGGTTAAGATTCAATGTAGAAGTCAAGTAACTTGCAGCGGATTCGAATCTACTGCTCGTTCAATAGAGTACTTAAAAAGCAAATGCTTATTCGGGGATAGGTCGTTCTATCATATTATTGTAAGTGTATATGGCCAGTAGCTATTTAGTGAGATCGGAGATATATAGATAGATGAATCTTCGAGGCATGGACCAAGAATGATATTGTATATCTGTTACTCACATATATCTTGTAAAGTAATGACTCAGGAGGTAAAATTATAAGAATTGAATTTGAATACAAAAAAAGAAACAAATCTTTTGTATGATATACTTTTACATAAATCAAGAAAGAAATCAAAGGAAAATGAATAAAGAGAAACAGAGATATATAACTTTTAAAATCTGATTTATATTTTCATCCTATCCCGTCCATCCATCAAAACAAGAATAAAGGTATCATACCACCTCCATTGTCCATATGCATCATCTCTCAATTTATTGACTTCTCTAGACTTAATTCTTGATATGAAACATACAATCCAATTCATGTTCCCCACAATCAATCCATGACAACCATTAAATTATACAACCCATTCACTTAATCTACAAAAGTGCTGCACCAACAAAAGTCAAACTAGCGATCAATGCACCAATAACCATTGGTGCCTTATCCATTGGAGTCAATGCGTTTCCTGCACTAGCCTTGGAGGTACTGGTAGCACTGCTCGTGCTTCCAGTTGCAACAGCTGTAACTGATCCGGATCCAGCAGAGGCAGTTCCGGTAGAAGTTCCTCCAGCGTTTTGGGATCCCTTACCGGTTAATCCTGCACCAGCGCCAGCACCGGTCTTCATGAGAGCTGCAGCACCAGATGGGATAGCCGGGAGAGCATTGCTGGTAACGTTCCAGGTAGAAGATTGAGCTGGGCAATCAGAGGCTTTGTTGGTAGAGCTGTATCCACCATCTCCAGATGGGTTGGTGGTTCCTTCGAAAGCGGCCTTGAGAGCGGTGAAATCAGGTCCTTCAGTGACAGAACCACCATTGATGGTTACGAGACCGTACTTAGATCCTTCCTCAGAGTACTCATAGACGAGACCACCAGAGTAAACGGCAGTCATATCAGTGCTGTAAAGAGACTTGACTTCCTCGAATTTACGGGTGTTGATGTTGCAACCATATTCGGAAAGGCTATAACTTATTAGTTGAAGTATTTCATACCAGGGCGAAAATCAACTTACAAGATAGGAATTCCGTAATCGGTGAAATTCTTAACCTTTTGATCCCATCCAGAAATAGTGAATGAAGATGGATCACACCAAGAGTAATCGTTGAAAGCGAAGAAATCACTGCGCTCGTCATCGGTACCGCAGTTCATGTATTGAGCCATCTCCAAACGGTTAGAGTCAACATCAGCTGCGGAATATCCGACTGGGATTGAACGATATCCACGGCTTCCGATATATTGTCTCATATCACGAGTAACTGCCTTAACGTATGGGGCAGCACTAGTTGTGCTATCATCATTGATAACTTCGTTTCCGGAGAAGAATGCCAAGGTGTTTGTGTAATTGGCAAAGGCATCAATGGTAGCAAAGATGTTTTGAAGGTAAACGGAGTTGTAAGAAGGTGCCGGGGTAGCACGGTTGAGCGAGTACAATGGTGTGTTGACATCGAGAACCAAGTAAATTCCTGCGGCAGCCAAAGCGTTCATGCAATCATCGTGGTTGGCAGTGTTGTCAACGGAGTAAACACGAACAGTGTTGATTCCAAGCTCCTTGAACTTTGCAATATCACGCCTGCAAGTGTCTTTGTCGGCGATAGGGTCGACGATTTTGGAAGATCCTCCTGGTTGATAATCGACTCCACGGATATAAAATCTGTTGTCGCCGATGAAGAAAGCTATGGTAGATTAGCAATTGTTAAAGCATCCATCGATTTAAATTATCATACCATTTCCCTTGGTGGAAACAGCAGGAAGAGATGTAGATGAGGCTCTTGCTGCCAAATTGCCAACTGGAGATGGAGTAGCCAAAGCAGAACCTGCAACAGCCAAAACGGCAATTGAGTTGAAAGTCTTCATTTTGAATTTGATTGTCTGGTTGATTCGATTTCAGAATTCAGAGATACGAAAGAAGCTGATGGTAGTAGAAATCGTGGATCCAAAGGAAAAAAGAGGTACAAGTGTAAAAGATTTGGTGGAAGTCCCGAAGTGAGTGAGAGACGATTCAAGAAGGATCTAATTAGAAGTATGTTAATAAATGGCAACTACAACGAATGAGAGTGCCAAAGAAATCTGTCAAAAAGTAAATGGAGAAGTTTTGGATATGGAGAAGAAGTTTTGATTTAATAGAAAGGAAGAAGAGAGGAAGAGGAAGAGGAAGAGGAAGAGGAAGAGAGGAGAAGTGGATAAAAAAGGGATGCGTCCAGATTATCTGCAATAATCGCCAAGACGACTAATTGCTGTAACAGAAGGTCAATCCATGCCTTCTCGTTCCAATTCGAACGCCATGCCGCCCATGATTTTTGGTAGACTAATCCAATTCGGGTATAGATCTTTGAGGATAATCAGGAGTTTAATCTTGGCAATCAAGGTTTTAGAGTTTTAGAGTTATTTAAATGGGTCTAGTCACTTTAAGACGAACCAGGATTGATAACAACAAACGATTAATTGATTCAAGCCACATTGATTTGGTTGGTGGGAGGCTGTTTGGCTAGGAAGAGAGCTTCGGGAAAGGCTCGTGTTGAGTTTTATTTTAAGAGATCGGTGTCTTGCATTTCTTTCCTTACGAGGAGTAGTCAGTTTAAAGTGAAGCTTGGAAATTGAATTGAAATAAGTTTATTTATTTATTTTATTCAATCTTTTCTCATTTGTTGCATAAACACTGCCTCAATATTCAATCTTGAATTGAAGCTTAAATCTTAAATGGTTATTGGTGTTTTTCCTTTTAGATTCTTGCTCATCTATCTAGACATCTCTTAAAATAAAATCCAATCAGTCTTCTCATAGCCGTACCTTCGTATTCTCGTGCTCGTGTCATCCATCTAATCAAGTCCGTCCATCAACTTAGTACCAGTCATTAAATCTGTCAAATTCATCAAGTCAATCAAGTCAATCAAGTCAATCAAGTCAATCAAGTCAATCAAGTCAATCAAGTCAATCAAGTCAATCAAGTCACCCCATATCGAACTTTAAAATTCATGACACCATCGAAAATCAACCAAGAGCATGAACATGATCATCATCATCTCATCATCATAACCAAACAAATGACCCAATCAATTCATCAATCAATCAATCTCAAACCCTTCTAATTATAAAACAACTCCATTCCTCATCTCCACTCACTCCACCACCGGTCCACCACTAACCTAACTCCACAATTCCCCAAAAACCCGCGCATCTTCACCAACATCAAACCTCCGTACCAAACAAATTACATGCATTTCTCAAACAACCCTCAATTCAAGATCACGATCATCCCAATATGAAATTATGAACCAAGCCATCCAACATCAACATCAACATCCAACATCCCTCCGTCCTCTATATTCAACCACCAGACCCCAATAGCCAACGACCAATAACCTATTCCTACAGACCCAGAAACCTCCAGTACGACCACATCAAACAAACAAATCACATTATTCATGTAATGTAGACTAGTTCATCCCAAACCACAACCCGGAAACAATCCAAAAGAAACACCAACTACGCCTAGAGCCTAGAGCATATAACATAGCTCCTTATTTCCAAGTACTCCAACAACCTAACCCTATCCCATCCCTGCTCTCTCTCCAGTCTCACAACTCCCGAATCCATATAGATGAATTATGAACTACCAGATTACCTGTACATCTATCTATATACTCGAATACATCCCACAAGAATGAAATTCATTTCAGATATTAATAATTCGGGACATTACATACTCCGTGAATTTCATATATTTCATTCCGATCTTCAATCGGTAGGTAGGAGCAAGAGCCCGTCTACGGAGTATAGGAGATTCCGAGGTTGTGTTGATTACTAGGTAGGAGGTAGGTAGGTAGATAACTAATTACCGATGATTACATGAATTTAATCATATAAGGGGGAATGGTATAGAGGGATGAATATCTTTGTTCTAGAAGTTTGTATATAATACCTAGGTACCTACCAATCTTATCAGATAGATGATACCCAATACGGATAAATGAAAGAAAGAACCTACTTCTCCAAATAAACAGATATATAAAACGCCTTTTTCTTCAATATCATGATTTTATCATTAGCTGCATTGAATCCCCAAATTCCAATTCCAATGCCAAACCCCCAAACCCCCAGGTTACCAAGCCAGCCACAACCACAACTAGTGAGAACCACAGCCACAGCCAGATAACTTGGAACCTTTCCAAAACATAATCGTCAATCCTCAATCCTCAATCCTCATGCCTCCTCGCTCATCCGACTCACGCTTCCTATTCTTACTCTGACTCTTACACTTACCTCTAGGTACTTAACCATCCAATCCAATCACATATAAATATCCCGTTGCCAAACCAATAAAACAAAACATACGAAAAGCTTACGAATATTTAATTCCCCAACATCTTAGCCTCTTGATTTTCCTTGACTTTTCTCTTGGGTTTTTCTTAGGGTTTCTTGGTGTAATATTGATTTTTTTAGGGGGGTATCGACGGGTCAATCTATGAATAAATAAATGAATCATTAGATTAACTATTATTTTTAGTGAAAAGTTCACTACTAATTAGGTACTATCTAGTACCTAATTATCCATTTTTCATCACTTATCATTTTCATTTGTTTGTTCGTTCGTTCATCTACACATTGTATCCTGCGATAATAACGAATCAACTTAACGCTATATTAGTGTCTTTTGTATGGTTTTTGGAAATTAAGAAAGAATATTTCTAATTGATAGGTTTGGAATTTTGTTGTAAGATGTTACGAGGTTTGCCGTCTAGATCACGTGGAAGTGCTCTAGGCTCTCGAGGTGGTTTATAACTAGGCGTCAAGCAAGGACTTAAGTAATGACAAATAATGATATGCAATTCGT